TTGGAGAATCTTGGCATCTGATTAGATTCATGCTGCCATTAAATTTTGAAATCATAATAATGGAGCTTTTCAAAAGAAAAAAAATCTTGAGAAAGTTGATATTTCTAATAGGAGAGTATCTCTTTTGAAGATCTAAATTCTCCAGGAGAATTTTCTGAAGAGTGAAGTAGAAGCTTTACCATGACAGATGGATTTGGTGTGTACTTTTGTGGAATAATAAAAATAAATATGTCAGCTTGTCATTAAAAGAAATAGCTTGTCATTCTTTTTTATTAGCACTGCCTGTGACCCAAGGTTACCCATTCTGTATAAATAGGCTTGACAGATATCTTGATTTCTGCTTTCTTTTCCTGGAAAAAATATTTGAAACTATTGTCTCATTTATTACACTGTGTATATAGAAGAGAGAAAATTAAGATAGCCTTCACCAGAATTCTGTTGTTTTAAAAACTAGAATGGAAATTTATCAAGCCTGCTATAAAATGTGGGATTTCACAATATTTTATGAAAATATTCATCAATCTAACAACTACCAACCACTAACAAAAATTAGGCAATGAATAAAACTATACAACTGTAAAATAATTTCTGGAAATAAATAAATGAATGCATCTATCAAACTAAATAGTCACCCTAAAGGGGTTTATCCTTTGAATTAAGAATGGCATTTTCTGCATTATATAATCCTGCTGAAATTGCTTGGTTGAAGAAGACAATTTAAATCTAGATTCATACAGCTCATTAGTTGAAAACTGCAGTTCTGATGAGAAGGAATATGATATTTCATGATGCCCCATCCTAAACTTTATGGAATCACATGCAAATTGTGTAGAAACAAATATCATCATCTGCTTAGTTGCGTATCTTATACTGAACTCTCAAAACTTGAAATAAAGGGAACACAGAATTTTCTTTCCAAGTTCCATGTTCCAGATAGCTTTTCTCATTGTTTTATCTTGACATTATCATTCTTGCTTTATTATTTGTCTTTTATTAAAGAAACACTTCCAGATCAAACCAGAGACTTGGTTCAGGACTTGCTTTCCCAGCTCCTCCATCTTTCTCTATTTCTGGGCAATTCATTCATATCATTCTGTAAGAATTATTACTGCAGTGTAAAACTGCATTCTGTGATATCCATAATACTATGTTCCACCCACTTCAGCAAAGATGGAATACTGGAAGATTTGCTAAGCTAACCAGATGATTAAATTCCTGGCAGCCCTCCAAGCTAAATAATGATGGTCCATAAGTATCCAGGGGAGGCAAGTAATAAAATGGGCTTTCCGGCATTGTGTTTCAAACTTTGTCCCTTTGGTTTTTGTATCATCAAATCTCACACTAGAGCAGGGGTGTCAAACTTGCAACATCATGTGATGTGTCATGACGTATCGCGACTTCTTCCCCATTGCTGGCAATGGGGTGGGCACAGTTTCGCCATGACACATCCGGCCCGTAGGCCGGCAATTTGACATCCCTGCACTAGAATGTGAGGGACATAGTGTAGCTTGCCTCACAATGTCAATGAGCACTTTTTGTCATTTTGACTAAAGTCCTTTTGCTATAATTGTCCATGCAATTTTAAACAGTCTCAAAAGAATGTGGAATAGAAAAGTTATTCCATAAGTTAGCCATGATATCTGTGGTGGTGCTAAGTTTGAGAGACTGTAACCAACCTCTAATTTCCATTCTGAGCACTCAGTTTTAAAACTAAGGCATTCTTTTCTAAGAATATTCCTGCAAAATCCCCATAAAACTACTAAAAGTTTTTAAAATGGGTGTCTTTTCTGTGGAAATTCATTTAAACAGGAAGGATATAATCAGTTTTGAGGACAGAATCAAGACACCCAATTAAGATACAGAGACTGACTTAAGATAAAGTCTCTCTGACAAATGTCTTGAAAGATGTTTATTTTTGGACCCCATCCTTCTTCCAGCCCTAGTGCTTCTGTCCCTGATGAACACACCATGTGAAAAGGCACAATGCAGCTTTCAGGAAGCGTCAGGACCATCAAGTGTGTGAGAAGAAGGTAGATTTAATGCCTGATTGACCTGAATTCCTTTCGAGTAGTTTGCTAAATTCCCACTGGTTGAGAAACTGCAAAGTTAGAAGTGCAGTAGCTGGAAACCTGAGGTTACAATAATTGCACCAAAGCCTGCTGAGATTTTCTGTACCACTTCCAGTAAAAGGAAAATATCCCCTAGTAACAGGAGCAAGTCCCACAAGAAGGACCAAACCTTATGTTCACTCATATATAAATAATACTTATTTTATCACGTGAAGTTATGGATCCAGGTACCATAATGGAAATATAAGAGTTGGGGCAAATATTTGGAAAGAAAGAAAGAAAGAAAGAAAGAAAGAAAGAAAGAAAGAAAGAAAGGAAGGAAGGAAGGAAGGAAGGAAGGAAGGAAGGAAGGAAGGAAGGAAGGAAGGAAGGAAGGAAGGAAGGAAGGAAGGAAGGAAGGAGGGAGAGAGAGAGGGAGACTTTTTCTTTGATTTTTGCTTTTACTAAAAATACTGATTCATCATGGTATCAAAACTGCTATATAGAGACATCCTTGGGAGGACAGATACTCCAGTATTTTATCCATAAATAACCAAAATACAATATTTCTTGCTGAGACAGGGATGTCCATAGGTTATATTTTAAAAAAGTCAAGTTAGCAGCTATGACAGTGACTTAAATGGAGCTCTTGAGCTCTCGCCCACTACTTGAGCAAGTGAGGATGCATGTGCACACATGCTCAGCAGTCGTTTCCACGGCCCAGTTGCAAACCCCTCGTGGCCCACTAGTGGACTGCAGCCCACAGATTGGGAATCCCTGATCTTGACTATTTTGACCATCACCTGTGGACAGTACTGAAAAAGAAGATATTTTCCTATAAATCCATGGCGGCAAACCTATGGCACGCGTGCCAAAGGTAGCATGCAAAGCTCTGTGGGTACGCGTGCCATCACCCCAATCCTAGACCTTTAGCTGAGTTTTATAAAACCTTTTCACTTTAGGCCTCCACCGCCGTGTGCAAAAAAAAAGTTTCAATCAATCAATCAATTTCAACTTCTCACAGGAAAAAAAAGATCTCACAAAGTTGGAATTGATTGATTGAACTTTTTAGTCCCACCCAGTCTGCCATTACCAGCACAGCCATGCCCACCCAATTAGCCACACCCACCCAATTAGCCACACCCACCCAGCACCCAATGATACATAAGTGGGTTTTGAGTTGGAGTTTGGGCACTCGGTCTCTAAAAGGTTCACCATCACTGTTATAAGTTATGTATCCAAAATATTTAAATCACTGAATCACATTTTCTATTTTTAGATTCTTCATCTTGGATACTTTGTCTCACAAAATAAAACAGTCATTTTCATTATTTTCATTATCATTTTATATTTTAGTGGGTTGTCCTGTCAGTGTTGGTGGGAATAGTCTTGGTGGCTATTTTTCACTCTTAGTGTGTTCGGCAATTCCTCGATTGGGGTATTGTTTACTTCTTGATTGTTAGTCTAATGTTAACCTTGGTGTTAATCTCTGCTTATCTGAGTGTTGATTGCTGGTGAGGAAGTATTTTGGTCTTTTTGTTTCCTTTTGGGCTTTTTGATTGTGTCTTTTGAATGGTATGTAGATATTATTTATGTCTATGTGCCTATTGGTGGCTGAGTTGTCTGAGTTCTAGAAATTATCTAGCTTTTTTGGACTTGGTCTTGAATACTCATAGTTTCTCAGTTAAAATTATAGTTAAGTCTATCCATGAATTTTAAAATTAAGGATTTTTCAACATGTCTTCTGACTGCTAGTTGGTGCTCATGGATGTGATCTGCTGGTCTTCTGCCTCTTTGTCCTACATAGTTAAAGTTAAATATATATAAACTTATATGTATATAAAGGCAAGAGAGAGAATTTCGTGTAGTGATTAAGCTATATCTAGAAACTGGGAGATTGTGAGTTCTAGTCTCACCGAGATACAAAGCAACTGGGTGACTTTGGACCAGTCACTTTCTTCAGCCTTAGTAATCCGACAATGGGAATCCATTTGCAAAAAGCTTGCCAAGAAAAATTCACAAATGGATCCAGGCAGCAGCCAAGACTCAACACTGACTCAAAGTCTTGTATGCATAAACCAAGACTTAAGAATCTCCACAGCGGCTTTACTCCAGGATAGTTCCAAATGAAGAAATAGAATCTTCTTAAGGGTGGAACCTGGAATACATTTTCTAAAGAAGTTTAGTCAATTGGACACGATGTACTTCAGGTATATCAATTTGAAAAAAAAGTAAATTTCCTATTAGAATGCTACATCCATCATTTTGCAGATTTTGACATACATCCCCCAAAAACAGACAATAATAAAATAGCCAAAATGGTCAGATGTCTAGTGCAACTCTCTTGTTAAAAAAAAGTTCGTATTTTTAATTTTTAAAAAAAAGTAATTGTAGATGTGACAAAAAGGGAGGAAATTGTGTATTTTCCAATGGACAGTGGACTAGCCCCATGCTAACTGGGAAATTCTGGGAACATAAGTCCACACAACTTAGAGTTGCTGAGATTGTGAAACACTGATATAATACTTCTTAATTATTCAGATCAAATAAAAAGCATTAGGTAAACCTCTGAAAACCTGATATCTTTTGAATCACTTTTTTTCCATTATTTTCCTCTGAGAAAGAATAAGAAAGAAGTGCTCTTTGAGTTTCTGTGCATTTCCAAATGCAAATGGATAGATTTTTTTCATAGCATTTGAGCTTGTTGACATTTTATTTATTATTGATTAAGACTGTGCAGTGCTTCTGAATTGATTCAGAGCATGTGCTTTGGAATTATTTCCAGTATCATGGGGAAATAGGTGCAATTCCTTTAATGAGTTTGAAACAGGAGATTCTTTCACCCTCCTATCCAGTACAAAACATTCCTTCAAGCTGGATCCAAAATATTGCACTTCACTGCTCGGTAACTTAATTTAGCTCAATATTTGGATTTTCAACATAAACCAAGTCATATCATAACGTGAATGACAAAAAACATGTCTCCAAGGCTAGTGCTGCAATTGAGAAAGTTCTAGATATTGTCATTACACCTTCAGAAGATGGGTGCAGATGGAAAAGGAAACATCAGGGTGTCTTCAGGCAAGACAGAGAATATGTGTTTGGATTTTTTTTTTAATAACCTTTTTCCAAATCCTCTGGAGCTTTTACTCATCAATGTTACATAGTTCAGAAACACATTAGACATCTAAAAAGTTGTGATAGTTGTTGTAGGACCTTGATGGGCAGCCTTGGACAGGAGTCTGGTTGCTGTGTTTGTCTCAAGCTTGTTTTCCAAATACTCTTCAAAGGGAGTCTCTTGTAGATGCCCAAACAGAAAGTTTATGGATGGGAAGATGCTGGGTGAAATCACTGTTGTGCCTTCCAAACTGCATTACTGGAGCATCAAAGTGAGCTGAGAAAAGATCACCATTGCCACAATCTGTGAACAAATCAACACCACAGATTAAGGAATTGTTCAAAACTGCAAATCTGATACTTTACAGTGAATTAAACCCAATTTGTGGGCAATCCAGCCTACTTACCATCATTGCCTTAAGTGAACTGATTTTTAGTTCATTTGCCTTCCTTCTTTAGCCTATCACTGCCCCCTTACAATTGTTCTCCGATTTCTCTGCATGAGTCAAATTGGAAGCAAAAGACAAATATAAAAAAAGTATAATGAAATTACTGGGTAAGTATTTCTGCAACCTAGTCTGCAAATCATCCTTACAGGGGAAGAGAAACCCTTCATAAGATAGTCTACTACCAATGTCACCCCAAAAAATCAAAAACTATCACAAAGATCAATCGGTCCTATTTGGGCTGCCAGGATATACTCAGCCAGTGGTTCCCATCCATTGAATGTTTCTTTCTGTGAAAATTTTGTAAGGAAAATTTTTGGGTGGTTCATTCCAAGAAATAGTCCCAAGTCTACCTCAAATGAATTAAGACAAGTAGAAGAAAACCTTCAAACATGTCAGCAGAGCAGATTTTTATTAATAAGATGGACCCATGGCCAACCACTTCAGTAGAAAGAATATATTTTAATGGTCTTCTTAGATTATCCCCAATTCTACAATCTTGTCCCTTGCAGAAAATGGTGACTATATATATATCTAAATTGTTAAACAGGACAGGAGGCTTGAAAGCAGAATGACCGTGGTAAAACATGAAAATAGCCAACTTTACATGAGAATAAAGGAGTTTTGAAGACCATTTGTGTGTGTTCAAATTCCTCCTCCAGCACTTTTTTTTTTTTTTTTGGTAGTGTTGTGGTTTTGTTTTGCTTTGTTTTGTTCTTGGCTATTTCCGTTTCCATTGATTATAGTTTCTATTAAAATTATATAAAGTATTAGTGGAATAAAAAATTAGATTGTCTAGACTAGGGGTAGTCAACCTTGGCTCTTTTATGACTCGTGGACTTCAACTCCCAGAATTCCTGAGCCAGCATAGCTACCCCTGGTCTAGACAATGGAAGAGTGTCTTAACTTTTACAGCAAGTGTCAACTGAACTTAAAGTTATATAAAGTTTGACAGATATTCGTATGATAGTGAGAACAGTTTTGGTGGCAAATAAGCTGGGAGCAACTGACAGCTCACAGACAGGAGCTACTGATCAGGCGAACTGTATTGGTAATGCACTTCTAAAATTATGTATTCATAATACAAGCATGGACCACAATGAAAAATAAGCCATATTATGTTAGAAAGCATTTATTGTCTCCTTCTCTCATTTTATGCCTAAACCTGCAAATGGATTTCTTTCTAATGACATAGCTATGTTATTATCCAAGTGCGTGTTGTACTGCCAAAGATGAAAGCAGCATATTTGAAAATCCAATTACAAATTCTTTCAATCAAAAAAAAAAGCCCTGTGAAAGCATTTGAACATTCCTTCAACTCAAAGAATTCAAAATTACAGGTAAAATGTAAGTTTAATTTGTTTTTTTTATTTATGTGTTTATTTGATCACTACACTTGAAAACAAGTTATAATCTTGACAGCTATCTGTTTAACTATTTCTTACATTTTTTTCAAAACATTTTATTTGTTTCGATTAAGAAAATGGAAGATTGGTTTTGCCCGCTGACTTACAATATAAAAAGGGAAGTATTGAAGGGATGTTGCTAGATGTTGGTTCTTAGACAAAGCTACTAAATCGGAGCTTCAAAATGCAGATATGGTTATCTAAGATTACTGCTGCCTTACATGTCCTCATGACATTCTTTCCCTTTTGGAAAGTTAAGCCATTTAATTTTTGCAAATTAGCTGATAGTGTCTCAGGCAGTGTTTCTCAACCTTGACAATTTTCAGGCATGTGGACTTCAACTCCCAGAATTCCACAGCCAGCAATGCTGGCTGTGGAATTCTGGGAATTGAAGTCCACATGCCTGAAAATTGTCAAGGTTGAGAAACACTGGTCTGAGGACTTCTTTTGCAGCTGTACAATGGTGGGAATGCCTGATTTGTTCCCCCTGAATCTTGAATTCTCCCCTTCCTTTGCTCTAAAAAGGAGCTAGTTTGCTTTCTTCTTTCCTTCTTACCATGGGGCACAACACCCAGTATATTTCCCTTGGAATTTTGCATTTCTCCTACTGACTGGCTGGAAGGTGCCCTGGCCAAGCAGGAAAATGACCATTACGCTGAGTGGACGACATTACCAGTTACCAAGGAAAAGGCTTCTGTCTCTCTTGATAACATAAACTAACTTTCTCCAAATCAAAAAGATACTTATCACCTCACATTTAACATTGACAAAGGAAGATAAACGGTCTAAGATGGTAAGAACAGCCTCCTATGGTAAATATATATTTGCTAGCAATGTTCAGGAGATCATTACTACGTTTCCAGAAAACGTTCAGTTCCAGAAAACTCAAAAGGTAAATATTTCTATACTGAAGTTGATTGCCAGTGCAGGAACTTATCAAAATACCTTACCCGCAGATGTGGCTACCTAACACATTTGTACATGAATTACTGATCTGGAATTTCTCCTCCTAATCTGATAGAATATCCTGAAGCTCTCTGATAGAGTTTCAAGTGAATTTCTCAAACATATCATTAGTTACTATAGCCCATCTTAGACAAGGGGACTGAAGCCTTGGATACCATTTTAAGAATTTTTAAGGGCGTTTCTGCACTCACCATTGGCTCTACTTCAAGATCAGCCCTGCACTCTTTGATATCATTCCTGTTTGATAGTTAAGCTGATCCATTTCTGGCTTCAACGGTGCATGCTTGAAATGAGTGAAAACTACGGGTTTTTGTTTTGTTTTGTTTTGAAAGTCTACAGCTTTATAAATCTTGTGGGCAAGGCATTTCCCCATCTGAAGAAACCTTTGCTTTGCCTCCATCCATCTTTGGAAAAGTCCTAAGATGAGATAAATACATTGCTTTAAATATAAAATGTTAGTACATAAACATGAGAGAGCATCTTTACCCCCACAAACTGTAAAAACACTTTTCTTTCTGATGGAAATAATGTGACTCTGGTACATGAGGAGAAAATGATCTTCAGAAATCAGAAATTAGATGGGAACACAAATTTCCAACAATCTTGCTGCCAAAGCCACCATGCATTACTATGACTCTTCTCACTCTGTTTTCCTAGAACATGTTCTCGCCAACAGGAGTTTATTCTTTACACATTGCTTATAGCAAAATGGGATAGTTGTCATTACACCTTTGGTAAACTACCAGAAGCCCTCAAAAACTATTATCATAGTGTCATTTCCTATAAATGTAACATACTTACAAGTACTTTTACTCTTATATATAATGATTTGTCTTACTTTTGCTTTCTATCTTCAGTCCAGATTTTTGTTAATTTTATAGCAAATCCATTTTACCCTAATTTAGGCCAGGAGTGAGATAATTGTGGTCCTCTCCAGATGCTTCCAAACTAGAGAAAGGAAGTAAAATGTGATAAGTTACAACCACACTGAGCTAAAAGGAAAATCTTGCCTTATTACAATGTAAATAGCTATAATGGGGGAAACTTACCTTGACAGTTTACTCTGTGCTTGTGGGGCAACATTTAATTCAGCTCATCACCAGTCTTAGGCTGTTTCAGAGAGAAGAAGATCTATTTTTTCCTAGACAGAGTCTTTTAAAGTTAGTAAAGGTTGCATTAAAAGATTAGTTACGTTTTAAAAATTTAGGATATGACTTAAAGAAAACTGGGAGGATCTAACTGTTAACAGTTTTTATTTGGGTAAATATGTGATGAATGCCTAGAGTATGCCTACAGTGACACAAGCAGCAAATCAATTTAACAAATAACCAAAATTAATAAATAAATAAATGTAAGATTTACATACATACGATGGAGATGTTTAATTAAAAGGACTGGGGTTGACACTATAGCAGTGTTCTGATATCTCAGGGGTTGCCGCAAAGAAGAGGGAGTCAAGCTATTTCTCCAAAGCACCTGAAGGCAGGACAAGAAGCAACAAATGGAAACTAATCAAGGAGAAAAGCAACCTAGAACTAAGGAGAAATTTCCTGACAGTTAGAACAATTAATCAATGGAACAGCCTGCCTCCAGAAGTTGTGAATAAAGTTTTTAAGAAGAAATTGGACAACCATTTGTCTGAAATGGTATAGGGTTTCCTGCCTGAGCAGGGGGCTGGACTAGAAGACCTCCCATGTCTCTTCCAATTTTGTCATTCTATTCTATTCTATGTTAGAAAAATAAAAGATCTGTCGTATCTTATTGTCTTAACATCATGGAGTGGTGAACCTTTGCAGTAAGGAGACATTTCTGCTCGTGGAGAATCTCCACAAGATTTCTTCTAGAGATGTTCAAAATCATATTGTAGGTTCCCAGGTGAAGACATTTTTCTTCAAAATATTTGGAAAATAGAGGGCCCTTTTCTGAAGAGGGCTACTATTTGGAGGGGTGGAATGTTAAGCAACCCTAAGATAGAGAGATTGCAAAGTTGCTCCTGCTCTTAGATGATGTTTGGAAAAAGGACACAGTGGGAGATTAGAAAGGCAGAGAAATGGGCTACCTTGGGGAGTGGAATAGATTTTATGTCTGCAACTGCCTTTATTTTCCAGGATACCCTTTGACAATAGCAACACTGTGAAATGCAAAGGAAATTGCAAATGCTTTTTTAACTTCACTAAAAAAAATAATAACTCATTGAGAGGGGATGTTTGTTTTAATCCCCAGTGGGATTAAGATTTTTCATATACTCATTCACCTGTTTTTAATACTAGAGAATGCCTGAATGGTGAAGAGCAGAAAGCAAAACCGACTGAACCATGAAAAAACATGTACAGGGACAAATATTGATTGAGAAGCCTAGATTCATTTCCATTCAGTTTTCCTTTCTGCTTTGGTTATATATAATTTCATGCTTTTGAACATTAATATTTAGAATGGCTTTCTTTTTTTTCTTTTTCTTTTTTCTTTTTTTTCTTTTTTTTGAAGGTCTCTTTTTTTTCCTTTGAGAGGAAATTGAATTGATCTCTTTTTTAATATAGTGTTGTTGTTTTTAAATTAAATAGATGTTTGTCCCAGTCACCCACAATTCTATGCAGAGAAATACTTTACGGTTTAAAGTATTATTGTCATTTTGTTTCCAATATTTCACCACACAATATTCTGATGAACATCTTCAAGAACAGGATGGGACCATCAAATGGCATGGTTTTCTATGATATGATAAAGTTAAGGTTAGTATTGAGCTGAAGAATCATTACATTGAAAGTGCAATATTTACAATATGGAAGAGATATGAGCTTAGTCTGTGCTTAAAAACGCCTTTAAGAGTCTCAGCACAAAGAGCATTTTATAGGAAAGTAACAGCAGGTAAAGAGAAATGGTTAACTTACTGAGAGTTGTTAAAACAGGAGCATGGAGAATATAAGATGAAACTAAAAGAGCAATTGACTGCAGATGGGTTTAGTTTTCAATGGTTTTTGCATACACTTGACAGAAAGATTTAACATAGATGAGAAGATATGTGGAATTAAGCAGCAGAAGACAGAACTACAGTATATACAAATGATGAACATGCAATTGCTAAAATGTATAAATTTTTATTAAAATTTGAAATTGAAGAAGAACAGGTGAAAGACTGTGTGATAAAATGGGCTATGAACTTTAGACAGAAAATACTGATGGAATAATGGGAAAATCTGTGGTTATAAGCACTGAAATTCATATTGATATAACCCAAAAGAGAATTTTTATAGAGTGATGTATATATGACTCCAGAAAAAAATGTCTATAAAGGTACTTCAAATTGGAAAACTGGACAACATGAAGGGCCATTGTATTTTGCTTGATGGACTTGTAAAAAAATCAGAAAATGTTGGATTCAAATACAGTACATGTACTGATATAAAGAATTTTAAAATCTAAGATTCAGCTGAAACCAGAACTCTTTTGGGGGGATTAATGGACAATTAGAAAAAAACATGGAAGATTATGTTTATATGTTATGTTTATATATATTATATTTTGTGCAGCTATCTGCACAAAAATGGAATGATTCTGAAATATCACATCAGAAGAATAGTTGATAAAGATGACAAAAGTAGCAGCAATGGCCAAATTAATTTGTTTGATTACAGAAAGATCAATAACTACATTTATCAGTGACTGAAAATCCCTTATGGATTTTTTTGCTGAAAAGGGGGAAAAATAAAATTTGTGGTTTATGGGTTTAAGGATAAGAAAATGTAATTTATGGAAAGAAGGAAATTATGATGTAACATTACTGTGAGTGGGTAAATTATATATGCATTCATAACCACTGTCAAAAAAATTGGAAGTCACTTCTTTAGAATCTTTTCTCTTATTTTATTTTCTTTCTTACTTATTTACCAATCTTTATATGTTTTATTTTGTTTCCTTTCTAATATTTGTATTGTTTTATCTTGTTACAAATTACTTCAGTAAAAACTATATTTAAAAAAAAAAAATAGGATGGAACCCAAGAACCTGTTTCTCAAGCATCCTTCTAACACTCCCACAAACGGATCTTTTCTCTAAAAACAAATAAAGAAAAAATTACAGAAATTTTATTATTCCCAAGTTTTTTCCAAGGGTTTCCCCAAACCCCAAAATGCAATTTCTTATCAGCACCTGTACCTTCAGCAAATTTGAAGGATGCTTCAACTCAGTTCAGGTTAAGAAAATTCAGAGTATAGAAATATGTACCTCATTCACCCTAGTAACAAGATTTACCAACCCACTTTTTCATATCTGAATTAAAATTGAAAGAACATTTCACTTTAATTTCACAGCCATCACTAGCCCTTTGTTAAAAAGTATATTTAATTGTACATAGGTAAGTGATATTTGCCTTTAAGCCAACCTGACTGTGTTTTTCTCTGTTCCCTCCTCTGTCCTCCTCCTTTTCTTCCTCCCCCCTTCTTCTTCTTCACTACTTGCCAACATTTGTAAATCTCGTCATGACTGAGACAGAAAAACAGAATAACAGAGTTGGAATGGACTTTGGAAGTCTTCTAGTCCAACCCCCTGCTCAAACAGGAGACCCTATACCAGTGGTTCTCAACCTTTTTCATGCCGCGACCCCCAACCGGTCGTAAGCCGAGGACTAATCAACCGGTCGTAAGTCGAGGACTACTCAACTGCTGCAGCACCGTTTGCAGAATGGGACTTTTGGCGGGCTCCGCAGGGCAGAGACAGCCTGGACAATTCCTATTGGCTTTTGAAAGCCAATAGAATTAGACTCTATTCAAGAGACTCTATTCTATTGGCTTTCAAAAGCCAATAGAATAAAAGGGAGTAGCACAGCTAAGGAAAAGGGGAAAAAATGGCGGACTGCGTTGTTTAGCGACCCCCATGAAATGGTCGTTCGACCCCAAATGGGGTCCCGACCCACAGGTTGAGAACCATGCCCTATATCATTTCAGACAAATTCCTGTCCAGTCTCTTTTTAAAAGCCTCCATGATGGAGCACCCACAACTTCTGAAGGCAAACTATTCCACTAGTTTATTGTTCTCACTGTCAGGAAATTTCTCCTTAGCTTAACTAGTTTGACTAGTTCTAATTTTGACTAGTTTCCATCCATTACTTCTTGTCCTGCCCTCAGGTGCTTGGGAGACTAGGTTGACCACCTTCTTCTTTGTGGCAGTCCCTCAAAAATTGGAACATTGCTATCATGTCACCCCTAGTCCTTCTCTTCATTAAACTAGACATACCCAATTCCAGCAACCATTCCTTATATGTTGTAGCCTGCAATCCCCTAATAATCTTTGTTGCTCTTGTCTGCACTCTTTCCAGAGTCTCAACATCTTTTTTATATTGTGGTGACCAATGCAGTATTCCAAGTGTGGTCTTATAAAACAGTACTTTCACATGATCTTGATTCTATCCCTCTATTAATGCAGCGTAGGATTGCACTGGGTTGTTTTGGGGGGGGGGCAGTTGCAGTACATTGCTGGCTCATATTTAAGTGATTGTTCATTGGGGCTCCAAGATCCCTCTCACAATTACTGCTATTGAGCCAAGTTTCATGTATACCTATATATTTGGTTTTTCTTGTCTAAGTGTAAAGCCTTATTTCTCTCTACACTGAATTTCTTGTTGTTAGATAGGACCCAGTATTCAAGTCTGTTGAGATCCAGAGCCATCTGGATCTAGAGCCTATCTTTTGGGGTGTTGGCTATGCCTGCCAGCTTGGTATCATCTGCAGATTTGATGAGTTCCCCTTCTATTCCCTCATCTAAATCATTAAGACAAAAGAGCCTGAGAATAAGATTGTAGAACAAAAGCAAAATTTATAGAATAAAATCTAAGGAGATGGCTATTAACCCATCCCCCAGGGTTCAGTTTTGTACATTTATTTTTCCTTGAAGCAGCTACTGCATATAGTTTCTCTAATATTCTATTGAAATTTATTTATGTAGTTAGGCAAATTTTTATTCCATTTTTCTTTTTAATTAGAACTCACCAAGGAACCTAGGATGGAAAAGAAACAAAAGTGGGAAAAAGCAAGAGTGGCATACTTGTCTTACAATTCCATTGCTGGAGATGCCTCCTCTTCCTCTTCCAACTAAAGAAAAAGACACATCACTCCAACATCACATCCACTGTGGCAAAATGTAGTGGGAATTTAATTCCCCAAGAGATAACAACTCACTAATTGGCAGCATTCAGATTTGTTGCTAGGATACACTGACATTAAAAAAAATGATCTCAAAACCCTTTGGGGTTCATTTTAGTACAAAAACTAATCATTAATCCAGTTAAACCATCCTTTGAGAAGTTGAAACTGTAGCTTCAGAGAAATGAGCAACAGGGTAGGGGAAAAACTTTATGTGATTCTTCTTGGCCTTCATCCCAAATTGTAATTTACAAGATTCTTTGAAACAAGCTAGAAAAGTCCACCTAGCATCCATTTAGATGTCTTTCTCCAATAATCA